CTTGGCACACACTGCACCACTGGGCTGTGGCTGTGCCTTTGGCCCCTCTGTGCACTCAGCATGCTGCATCGGCACACCCGCTGAAGAGAGAGGGACGGAGTACCTTGGGACACTCTGTGTCTGCCTCAAACGGAACACAGGGAACAGCAGCTAAAAGGTTGTGTCTATGCTTATACGTGTGTGTCTGCAATATTTACATTCACTCGTGACAGCTTTGCTGACACACACGCTCTTGAGAAGGAAGCCGAGAAAGTGAGTGACGGTTCCTCTGTGTCTGACAGCTTCCTGGATCAAGTTCAGAAAACGAAGCATTTAGAGAAACATGTAAAGATGCACCTATACAAAGGCCAGCAGGGCAAGCAGGCTGGAAGAGGGGGTCTGGGTCAAGGTGAGGGTGGCCTTTCCTCCCCAGCTGCCTGATGGAGGGTGACCAAAGCCAGTCCTGGTGCAGCTGACAGGCGTCTCCCCTGTGCACCAGAGGCTCCCCAGTCAGTTGGCAATGTCTACTCTGCACTGGGTTGTGGAAGGCATGGTTGGGGCCCTGTGTACAGAGATGCCGTGGGCCTCTGGGAGTTTGCCGTGGAGGTGGAGAGAAAAGATCAGGATCCAACGAGGATCAGAGGCGTGCTACACCGAATTTCTGCAAGGGGGGTATGGGCAGCATGCTGCTAATTGGAAGTGAACGCTTCCATCAGTCCTGGCTGGCCACCCTGCGGGTAGGTACGATGGCCCCGAGTCCCTGGTTTGAGGTAGGTGTTTGGGCATAGGGAAGGCACCCCTCCTATTGTGTCCCCCAAGACAGGACACAGCCACACCATTTCTTTCATGCCCACGTGGTCTTCCAGGTGGTGGTCTTGTGCTTGTCTCCCACTATGGACCCTGGAGTGCTTTAGAGCAGATGTGGGTCGGTCCCCAAGCATTGCCTGTAGCTGACACAGTGCCTGTCGCACGGTAGACATTCAGTTGTTGTTTGTTGAATTTCACAATTGTAGTCGAGACTCAGAAGGAGCCCTGGTGGCACAATGGAATTAAAAGGTTGGCAATTCAAACCCATCCAGTGGCTCCATAGAAGAACCCAGCAATTTGCTCCTGTAAAGAATACAGCCTAGAAAACCCTGTGGGGCCATTCTACTCAGTCACACGGAGTCATTATGAATTGAAAATCTATGCGTAGCACACACAGTGGGAGAGAATAAGGGTGGCACCCAGCAGGTCAGCCCCTGCCAAGAGACACAGGTGTGATCGTAGCCTGGGGCTGAATTAAAGCCGGGGCTCTGCTGGCTTGGTAGGATTTGCAATCTGGATAAGAACTCATTCTGGCCGTGAGCCACTCCAGTACCAGGTGTGGAAAACCACTCCTAGTTCCCTGGTGGCAATGGGCTCCTTAGAAGAGAGCCCAGGGCAGGGGGCTGTTATCGATTGAATTGTGTACCCAAAAACCATATTGAAGCCCTAGCCCCTGTAGCTGAGATGGGACCTGCTTGTTTTTGTTGTTGTTGTTGTTGATTGCCGTCGAATCGGCCCTGACTCATAGCGACCCCTCCTTGGGTTTCCGAGGCAGTATCACTACGGAAGTAGGATTGCCCAACCTTCCTTCCGAGGAGTGGCTGGTGGGTTTGAACCGCCAGCCTTCTGGTGAGCAATCAAGTGCCTTAGGCACTATGCTACCAGAGAAATAGTTTTTTTAAAATATGCTAATGAGGTCACAGCAGAGTAGGGTGGGTCGTTAATCCCCTCTGAGTGGGCTGAGAAAATGGGAAAGCAGACATGGGAAGCCACACACACACACACACACACACACACACACACACACGGAAGAGATCATGTGAGGAACCGTGTAGCAGCCAAGGAACATCAAGGCACACCGGGGCTGCTAACAAGGAAAGATGATGCCCTGTAGCTTCCAGACTGTGGGACAATACCTTTCCGCCGCCCATTTGTGGTGGTTTTGTTGCAGCAGCGTGAAGAAACTAACAAAGGGCCCTTTGGACGCAGCTCTGCAGGGATCCTCAGCTCCAGGGAGTGGGTCTCAGAGGTTGGACCGGTCAGGACAGGCTGTGTTAGGGTGTAGGAGGAAACAGCTCCACAATCCACTACAACGATAACAGTAGAGGCGTAGGTGCTCCTGAGAACATGGGAGATGAAAAGAAGGGCATCCGCCCAGGGATGAATCTGAGGAGGCAGGAAGAGGTAGGAGAGAAGGACCAGTGGAGATGGGAAACACAGGGAGGACGTGGGAAGAGTGACGATAGGTTGTGGGGGTTGCAGTCAGTGTCACGAAGCACAATGTGAACGGATTGTTGAATGGAAAACCAATTTGCTCTGTAAACTTGCACCCAGATCACAATCAAAAGTTGGGGGGAGAAAAGAAATCTCAGTGGGCTAAACAACGAAGGTTTACTTCTTGCTCAAAGCCTATACTTGGCCATACTCATTGTGGGCGGGTGGGTGGGAATGGGAGGTTCTGCTTCTCATAGTCACTTAGCAACCTGGGCTGATGGTGGGAGCGGTTGGGGTGGGGTGGGGCGGCTCTCTCTCTCGCAGGCAGACAGCGCCCTGTCCTGGTGGGCGTGCTTCTACGTGGTGGTAGTTGCACCAGGTTCTTCAAGCTGCAGAGCGGAAGTGATCCTCCACACTTCCACTCACCCTTCTCTGGGCACGTCTAGCTTCAAGTGGGACAGAGAGGCACAGTGTTACGCAGGGGTGCCTCGAAGAGGAGAAACAGAGTTTTGATAAACAGCCCGAGTTTACTGCCGAGAGGAGACGCGTCCAGCTTGGCTAGGAGCGGAGGGGGTGTGCTGGCCTCTGCCAGGCCTCCTCTCCCCACAGCCTGAGCCAGGCGTAAGCAGAGCGCGTGCAGGCGGACCGGGGTTCTCAGCTGTATTTGCAGCTTTAGTGGCCAGGCAGTCTTTATGCCGCACCTTCTCTTAAATTTTCCAGGCCTGGGATCTCGCGGCCGTGAGATCCAAGCTGGAATGCTTAGCGGTGCCTGGGGAATTCTAGTCACAGCCGTCCTGGGGAAACAGCAGCATCAGGCTTAGGGTTTAAAAAACCGTCAGGAAGGCAGCACACCTGGAAGAGTGTAACCAACGCCACTGAATTGTACACGTAGAAATTGTTGAACTGTGTATGTTTTGTTGTGTATATTTTTCTTCAAACAGACAGACAAACATCATGAACCACAGAGTGTTTTTGTTCTGTCTTGTTGGACTTTTAGGAACTAAGGAAAAAAAGAAGTGAAGTGAGGACAGGAATACGATTTAAAGGAAAAAAGAAAACAGAAGCAAAGTTGGCCCTGCCTCTGCAGGGAGTGCTGGGCAACCCAAGCAGAGCGTGTGGTGAAGGGGACACCCTTGGGGTGATGCCTGCTGTCAGGAATCTGGAGGAGGAAGGGTGCTTCTCTCCCTGCCCTCCACGGCAGGGGCAAAGCTGCTGAGACCAAAGGAGGCAGCAGAGTAGACAGTTGCTGAGAGGAGTTGTGGGTGGTGTGGGCAGGTCACAGGAGGAGGAACAGGAATGTGGGCCTTCCCACCTGCTTCCTGCTGGCTGGAACAGCCTGCAACACTCCCCTGCCCACCCCAGCTATCATGCCTCTTGAAGTCATCTCCCCCAAGCTGGCTGGGCTGCCCCTCCACTGCACACCCTTGGGCATCCCTGTGTTTCTTCTCCAATAGCATCACTGCCCTGTACCTCTTCATACTCGGGCTATGCCCCCAGGACCTGGCACCTCCCCAGGAATAAAGAGGAACATTGTGATTTTATGGAATGAATGATAGGTGGGGCTTATGAGGGGTCAGCATTCATTCTGCACCAGGAGACAGCTGGCTGGGCCTCTTGTTAGTGCTGAGCCCTCCCTGGTGCTCAAGGGGGCCCAGGCAAATACGATAAAAACCAAACCAAACCCACTGCCGTCATCGATTCGGCTCATAGCGACCCCTCTTGGGTTTCTGAGGTGGTATCACTATGTTAAGTAGACTGCCCAACCTTCCTTCGGAGGAGTGGCTGGTGGGTTTGAACCACCAGCCTTCTGGTTAGCAGTCAAATGCCTTAGACACTATGCCACCAGAGCTTAGAGCCTACACTCTAAGTCAAGTTGAAATATCACACATTTGTGAAGAGAGCCCCAGCAACCTTGAAGACTTCTGTGATTGCTATGTTATGTGAGTCAGATTTGGTAGTGGGAACTGCCGTAATTTTATTAGGGCACCTAAGTACAATGGGGCTGACTGGACGCCATGTGGTAGAGACCCTGACAGCCATTAGGATCCAGTCAAGATTCCAAGGACCTCACTCTTCAAACCAGGTACCAGGGCAGCCAAGGCTCCTTGAAATAAGATCCTGAGCCTGCTAAGCTGCCTTGTCCAACCCAAGCACCGAGACTCTCAGCTTGCCCCATCCCGGTGGCGACAGCTTCACACAGCCCCATGCAGGTTCTCTAGCCTTGCCCCTAATCCATGCACTGGCCCAGGGGTATCCCAGTTGACTTCTTTCCAGGGAAGAGTTTTCCCACCTCTGCCAGAAACACCAGACCGCTTCCAAGCCCTCCTTCCATCTCTGGGGAGTGAACTCCTGGACACTGTGGAACAGGGGAGTGACTTGGTCCCCACCCACTGTCTACCACCCAGGCCTCACTTTACCCATTTCTAAAACTTAGGCTGCCTCTGCTCCTCCCCACATTGCAGAGATTTGGTGAATGTTAACATCAACACATTTTGGAACACTCTGGAAAAAAAAGAGACCCTAATTTCGTAATTTTGTCTGCTAGCTCCCTCCCATCCTCTCAAATCTTCTGGAATTGAAACATGGTGAGTTAGCTAAACTAGAGAATGGAGCCCAGGGGCTGGTGGGAGTTGACAAATGAATGGTCTCAGGCCTGGGAACATTCAAACATGGGCAACAGTTTTGTCCCAGTGCCTCCCATTCAAAGGGAAGCAGGTTCAAAGATGCTAGCCGTTGAGGTGAGGTCCGTGGGTCCTGAGAGAAGGCTGAGGGGAGGGACCTCAGAAATGCGGTGAGGCCTGCAGGAAGGGTCTCCAGGTGTGGGTCAGCCTGGGCACTAAACCCAGCTGCTCGAGCTGCAGTCGCGTGGGCCGGTAGGCGTTGAGGTTGCTGTAGAGCGCGGGCGTGCTGTCGTGGGGCCTGGCGGGAAAGGCGGCCTGTGCTGGGAGGACTCCGCTCTGGCCGTGGTAGGGCTGCAACCTGGGGGCTGCAGGTGGGTTTGGGGCCAGGGGGCTGCTGGGCCCCGAGGACACAGACAGACTCTGATTCTGAGGGTTGCTGCCTGTCGATGGGCTGCTGAAGGGGTTGGAGGATGTGCGGTCGCTGGCCGAGCAGCTACTGTCACTCAGGGGGCCACCATGTGGGGGGCTGTGGCCCACTCTGGGCTGGAGGGGTGTGGCCAGCCTTGGAGACTTCAGGCCCATTACCGGCTCGGAGGAAGCGTAGAGGTGCCGGAACTCCTCATCAAATAGCTCCACCGCCTGGCCTGTGAACTTGGAGAGGATGTTCCGGTGGGCGTGCCCGCAGAGCCAGGTGAAGCTAGAGGAGAGGAAGAGAGAGTGTGAGGGGCAGTGCGGACCTCAGGGAGCTCCAGGGAGGAGGGAGGCAGCAGTGGGAGCTAAGGACCAGAGTGTGACTGGTCTGGGAGGTCCTGGGTGCCCCAGGACAGGCAGAGAGGGGACTGGAACGTGCTTACTGCTCCTCTGTGCTGGCTTATGTCGTCCTAGCAGAGATCCTGGGTGGGAGGCATTGTTATCCCCCTTTCACAGATGCCAAAATGGAGGCTCAGAGACCAGAAAAACATTTGCACACGAATAAATATGCTGTTAGGTCAATTGGCA